CATACAAAGTTAAACTTAAAAAGTCCTTTGAGGTTCAATACCTACACACTTGAATACAGCATAATACTGAACTTTAGTTGTTATGAGCACACAAAATAAAACTCATTTTAAATGTGTTGAACTGAAAAAGCAGAGAAATTATTCCCTGAACCAGCAGGCTTTCTTTTTAAGGCTATTTTTCTTCCTCATTGAATGTCAACATTTACTATGAGTTACACAGACATGGGAATAATTCTAAATTTCTGACAGGAGGGACCAATGGTTCATGGCTCAGGAAAGAAAGTTTAGTCTGGAAAAGCTCTAATTTAGAGAAACTTAAAGGGGAGGCATCTGAACTGAAAATCTCTAAAGTGCTGCTCCATTATGGCTTGTGCTGCTCTCATGTTTATTCATCAATATACATCAACAACCATTTGTACTGAGAATTTATGGTGATGAATGTTTTCTCCTCCTCCCCTACATCCTTCTTTTTCTTCTTCTTCCATTCCTCTTCCTTCTCTTTCTTCTTGTCTTCTTCCTCTTCTTTTTCTCTTCTCCTTCTCCCTCTCCTCTTCCCCCTCCCCCTCCTGCCCCTCGTCCTCCTCTTCCTCCTCTGCATCCTCCTCCTGCTTCTCCTCCTGCTCCTTCTTCTTCTCCTCCTTTTCTCCTTCTTCTCGTCCTCCTCCTTCTTTTTCTCCTTCTTCCTCTTCTTCCTCCTCTTCCTCCTCCTCTTCTTCTTCTTCCTCCTCCTCCTCCTCCTCCTCCTCCTCCTCCTCCTTCTTCTTCTTCTTCTTCTTCTTCTTCTTCTTCTTCTTCTTCTTCTTCTTCTTCTTCTTCTTCTTCTTCTTCGTGTCCTCCTCCTTCCTTTCCTTCTCCTTCTTTTTCATCTCTTTTGGCAGCTTGGGATATAGTTAGTTTGAGCTAGATGGGATTATAGGATAGCTATCATCATGGTATTTGTTGTATTAAGGATAGGACATATATGGATCTAAGTAATGTCTTCAGTCCCAAGATATTCAAAGTTTTAAAATCCATCCTTGCAGTGCTATTAGTTATCTTTTATGTGATAAGAGTTATGGTGATAGGAACATATGTTTACCTGGAGGAAATTATGAAAGGTGTTAAGTACAGGGAGGTTTAAGTTATAAGAAACATCATAAAAGCATACACTTTGGCTGGGCTTGAGATGTCATTTTGCCTACTCCCATTATTCTAATGTCCACTTTAAGGTTATTAAAATGTCCTAAGATCATTCAAGACAGGGCAGTCTACATCTTCACTTTATTATCCCCAAGCCCTCAGAGATGCCACAGCTACTGAGACAAGGTCACCTAACACTTTAGAATCAGAAAGTTCTTTAAAAGCAAAGCACTCTTCTAAAAAGAGACTAAATTGCAACTGCTTCCTGTATGTGCCCATCAACTAATGTGATCACAGAACTGTTTTAGAAACAACTTTTATCTTAGTTTTTTCCTCATCAAAGATTTTCAATTTAGTTTTTACACATTTTAATTTTTCTTAAAAAAGAATCCCCCATTTTATAATTGAATTTAATAGAAAACTAAGCTTTGCTAAGATGTACTTATATAAGAAGATAGGACAGATATACCACTATCCCACAAGAAAGGTACCATTTCTGGGATCAGGAGTGAAACAAAACCAACAGACCCTAAATTTCTCGAATAGGTATATCAATACCCACATGTCTATCCCAAAACTACACTTTTAATTAAACAGATTTGTGTATTTGGATAACTGGGGACTTTTCAATAGTTAAGTTGGTGCCTCCTAGTTGGAAAATTAAGACCAGTGATTTCCCAACAGCTATTCTCCCAGGCTGACTGAAACACTAATCAATTAATGCTGAGAGGTTATTAAGTAACATATTCTAGGCTTGAAAACCCATTTCTCACAATAACCGATAACGCCTTGACTTCTTTTTATTTTTACATAATTTTCTTTATTAAAACCATAGAGGTCAAGTAAAAATGGCAATAATACTAATCATGTTTAAGTAACAAGAATACCTATTTTGCCATCAGTTATCTTGGTGGAGGAAAAGAACACTTAGCTATGTGATTTAAACAGTTGTATGTTAAAATGAATACACAATAGGCCATTGGGAATGATATAACTGCAGCCACAGCACAACACACACATACACTCAGATTACTTAAATCCTGAGTGTGTTATATTCACTGCACATTGTTTCTTTTTAAAAAAATTATTATTATTATTATACTTTAAGTTATGGGGTACATGTGCAGAACAGAACGTGCAGGTTTGTTACATAGATATACACGTGCCATGGTGGTTTGCTGCACCCATCAACCTGTCATCTGCATTAGGTATTTCTCCTAATGCTATCCCTCCCCCAGGCCTCCACCCCCTCACAGGCCCTGGTGTGTGATGTTCCCCTCCCTGTGTCCATGTGTTCTCATTGTTCAACTCCCACTTATGAGTGAGGACATGCAGTGTTTGGTTTTCTGTTCTTGTGTTAGTTTGCTGAGAATGATGGTTTCCAGCTTCATCCATGTCCCTGCAAAGGACATGAACTCATTCTTTTTATGGCTGCATAGTATTCCATGGTGTATATGTACCACATTTTCTTCATCTAATCTAACATTGATGGGCATTTGAGTTGGTTCCAAGTCTTTGATATTATTTCTAAATTATAGGATAGTTATAGCCCACTCCTTGAATGCTGGTACTACATTACATTTTCCAACTTTAATTACGAAATAAATATTGAAAATATGTGTTCATTTTTGCTCTAATGAAGACAACATAAATTTTAAAATTAGGATATCATAGAGGTAAGCATCACTCTCCCTGAATAAACTATACAACAAATTATAGACCCAGTATTTTTTCTACACATGTAGTTGAGTTAATAATTCTGCTTTAAAACAAATAAAAATATGTTCTAATCCTTTATTATTCTAGCATAATTCCTAAAAGAGATGATTGTTTATATCAGAATATCCATAAATAAAGTTAAATTTGTCTCTTTAAGAGGTGTTCACCTACAAAGCCTTTAAATATCATCGATTATTCACAAGTCTTTGGCTGAGGAGGCTCATTCTGTCATTCAATAGGAATTATTTTGACTCAACAAGAATGACAAGGACGACATTTCTGCATTTGAGGTGCTTTCTGTGGATGGAGAAAGACAAGATCCACATAAGTGGAAAAATGTGAAAACACCCCATGTGCTGCAAGTGGATATATAGGCAAAGTGATTTGAAACAACACAGGGAACATTGAGAAAATGAAGATGTTTGCTTGTTTGTTTGTTTAAGGGTCTCACTCTCTTGCCCAGGCTGGAGTGCAGTGGTGCAATCTTGGCTCACTGCAATCTCCACCTCCTGGGGTCAAGCGATTCTCCCAGCTCAGCCTCCTGAGTAGCTGAGACTACAGAGAAAGTGTATTTGGTAAAGGAAACCCAGCAAGAGGTGAGTGTTTTGTTTTCAAATGATGTCAAATTTAACTTGGTGGGAAATTATGAGTAGTTAATTGAAAAATTTCCCAAAGACCTAAAATTATTGGCCTTCATTAAATATTCAAAGAATTTAAAAATGTGTTCCAATTTCAGGACTCTCAATTAGCAAAGCTTATGGTAAGAAACTCATCCTGATGACAGAGCAATTAGGGACAGAAAGGTCGGGCTTCCTTGACTCCACATGGTCCCTGAGAGAGAGGGAGTGATGGCTCTATCGTAGAGCTGGGCCTTCAGGGTGGCAGAGTTGAAAGCAGGCGTATGTTGAGCACACCCCAGGGCTTGCCTGGACCTGGCAATTTGGAAGTGGTATGGCTTCCTTGGGAGAGGTGGAGTAAATTGTTCCAATGCAGCATAAAGGCTCAGAAACATATGAGGGGTATCCACAAAGTGGTACCCAGCCCTGGCTCAGACCACTATCAGTGATACCACCTCTGCAGATGAGTGAGGCACTAGGATACTGCACTTCATTAATAGGTACAAGTCCATACTCTGTTTAATAGCCCACTTTGTTGTGACTCTGGTGGCCACTAGAAAGTTTTTACATAAGATTGCAGAGTAAGGAAACCCTCCTGCTACCAGGAGGTGACCCAGCCATTACTTCTCAAGCCCTTTGGGCATTTAGGTAAAGAAGAAATTGTCCCAAGGACTGAGGCTGGAAAGAGTCAGAGGCCTGATGAAAAAGGGTGTGTCCACCATGCTACGGGGTCTCCACTTTACTTGTAAGCAGTGAAGAACCACAGAGGCAGGGCGCCATCAGATCAGATTTGACCAGATGTCAAATCCTTCTGAACTTTTTACTCCTTTCTGTGAAGTGGCTTAATAACTAAAACAGGCCAACTGAAAAACAAAAGCGTACCCACTTTGCATGGGCCTCCATAAAATAAAAGGAGTTTCCTTCTCTCTTTGAGTAATGCTGTGGCCTGCAATGGGCAAAGACAAAGTCCCAGGGCTGAGGGGAGATGTGCAGCTTGGAGAGGAGAGGAGAGGATCATTCTGTGGTTGGGGAGACAGGAACTGGGGCAAACATGGTCATAAAGGCATTAACAGACTGGGTCAGCTGGAATGCAGCTGCAAAACTCTTCCCTGTCTGTGTGGTTCAGATGCCTTCATGTCCAAACTTCACAATCCTCTGGGACCCCAGGAACCTGCATGGGCACTGGAGGGAGCATGTGCTTAGTACTGGCTTGTAATTGACTGATGAAGTGAACGAATGAATGAATGAATGAATGAACACAGGATGGCTTCTAGAAAAAAAAAAGACCAGGGCAAGGACAGAGAGTGTGAAGATCCTGCAAAGGCCAATGATGTTAAGAGCCCAGAGCTGGGTGGTGGCTGAGGGAGTGGAGAAGAGGCAGGAGTTTTAAGAGCTATTTTGATGGGACTCGGGAATATTGACTGCCAGTGAGGACTGAGGCAGACAAATAGGTCAAAAATGACTTAAAGCTTCTGGCCTTGGCAACTGGACACTGGAGTTTAGGGAAGGTAAGAGGAGAGCAGGCTTTTGAGAGAGGATAACAAATTTGATTTTGATCACATGAAGCACTTTATTTATTGGAGCATTGTTTTAACTCCCTTATAACCAAGATTATCCATATTTATTACAAAAGCAATAATATCAAAGAATGCTTTAAAATGCAATTAGATTTGTTTAATATAGATAAACTGTGAGTAATAAGATTGTTTTCATCATAATATAGGTGTCATACATTTCTCCTGGTAACTAAAAAAGATAAATGGGCAGATAAAACATAACAGTAGAATAACCTAGAATAGTAAATTTTATTACTGGAAGTCTCTCCCTAGCAATGGACAAACTCAACCACATTTAACACATAAAGAAACCAGGGACAAGAGAGGCTGGCATTCTTCACTCTACATATACTTAGGGCACTGACCACGTGCCAGGCACTTGCTTGGTGCTAGGGATATAAAAGTAAACATACAAGGTACCCGTACCCAAGGAGCTCACAGCCAAGATAATGGATGACAATGTTCTGAAAGCAGAAATTATCACACAGCTTAATAATTATTGTGAGAAATGCATGCTCAAGATGCAAGGTGCAACTCATCCAGGCTTGGGAGCAGCTCTTGTGAATGAGCTGACATGGAAGGAGATGCAGAAGTCAGACAGACAGGTTATGAAGCAGCGTTCTAGGAAGGCCAAAGCGAGGGCAAGTCCAGTGCATTTAATGACCAAAGGAGTGAGAGTACAAGGGAACTCTAGTCCTGGGTTTAGGAGACAATAGTCTCCTGATTCCCAGTTCAGTGCTATTTTAGAATAGTGCCTGTGTATTGACAAGTCTCTGAAGATTCAGCACATACATCAATACTCTTGCATAGACAAAAAAAGAAGCTTACATGGCTCGCGCTTTACCAGTGTAGACATTAGGATTCTCTAAACTGTCTTGCTTAAAATGTTTCTTTAGAGGAATAATTACTTTCTATTTTAGCTTTTCATATCCTTCCAAATGTTTATATCAATTGGGTCATGCCATACAATTCTTCAGTCTGGAAGGGATTTAAGGTATCATTTATTTGGCAACCAAGGGAGTGCAGGGGCAGGGTGGAGTAGGGCTCAGTGGGAGCAATGCCCACCCCGGTGCAGCAGTAAAGGGGGCATTCTCTGCAGGAAACTTAAGAATTAATAATAAAATTGACCAAAATCCCTCTGCTTTTTATTATCACCACCAATTCTGAATAATGTCAACAATAAATACTTGCTGCCAAGACAAACTTCTCTTACTGACCCCTCCCTATTTGCATGGCACTGCACTGTGTATATACCTGTGCATGCAGAAAACCAGCCCTGAACAGGCATTAGAAATACCCAAAGTGTCCATATTAGCCACAGTTAGCTCATATGGCCACACCCTCGCCATTCAATTTTCTTCTGTTAACATAGCTTGAGTAGTCAAAATCAGACATATCAAAACCCCACATCAATGTGCATCTTCCTGAAATTATATTTCTCTCCAATTAGCATTCTCATCTTGACTAGTCTCATATCTATTTCCAGCTGGGACCACAGGGGGCTGACAACCGATGCTGCCACTTCCCTATGCGCAGGTTCACCAGGAGCAGTCTTCGCTCATCTTCTCCAGTTGGGCTATCTGGCACGTGCTTGGAGGGGTAAACACCGAGGGGTCTTTAATACCCAGCTGGATGTCAAAAAACCGCGTGGACAATATCACACTGTAGTTTTTGGTAAAGGTTTCCTGGACAGGATAGCAATCTTTGACTGTATAGATGCCAATCCAGGTTTCATCTATAAGAGGAAAAAAGTTGACTTTTGAATAAAGAAGACAGGCAAGAAGTTCATATTTTTTCTTGTGATGGCAAAATGTACATAACATAAAATTTACCATTTTACCATTTTTAAGTGTTTGGTGACCTTGAGGACATTCACACTTGTTGAACAACCATCAGCACCATCCATCTCCAGCACTTTTTTCCATCTTCCCAAACTGAAACTCTGTCTCCATCAAACACTAACTTCCCATTCCTCTTCTCCCAGCTCTTGAAACCCACCATTCAATTTTCTGTCTCTATGAATTTGACGATTCTACATGCCTCATGTAAGTGGGATTGTTCTGTATTTACCATTTTCTGCCTGCATTGTTTCTCTTAACATTATGTCCTCAAGGTTTACTCAGGTTGTAGCATGTGCTGGTGTTTCCTTTCTTTTTAAGGCTGAATAATATTCTGTTGTATGAATATACCACATTTTGTTTATCCATTTATCTGTTGATGAACATTTGGGTTTCCACCTTCTGGCAATTGTGAATAATGCTGCTGTGAACATGGGTGTACAAATATCTGTTTGAGTCTCTGTGTTCAATTATTTGGGATATAGAGATATATATATATGGAGTTGCTGGGTCATATGGCAGTTTTATCTTTCAATTTTTGAGAAATCACCATACTGTGTTCCACAGCATGAATGCCTGTGTGGTTAAAGCTGTCTTGGGATAGGCATATATCAGCAGCAGGGCAGAGAATGGCTTCACATAAAAGCAGGCTGGTTTGCACACTCATCATGATGGGAGTAGGTCTGAACCCTGCAACTGTAGGAAGTGGGGGAAAGAAAAGAAGGCACCTGATTCAAATGTCTGTCTTAGGCATATGCCTTCCATATCACAGACCTCCGGGTGACCATAAAATGTCAAAATCAAGGCTAAGTTCACAGGAGTCAAAGTGGCAGAGAGGTGCAGGTGGCACTAGAAGGCTGAGGTGTTTCAAATATGAAGCTTAGATCCCATTGCCACGTAGTGAGGAAAGTAACGTGCAGACCTAAGTGGAGGCTTTAAAAAAATTTTAATCAAGCGAATATTTCCCTAAAAACTACCTTCCTTAAAGAACTTAAACCTTCTTTCCCATCACGCATCCTGAATACAATGCTTAGATCCTTTGAACGCTTACAGGATCTAGCTGACTTTCTGTCCGACCACTCCTGGACCATAATCTGCTCCTGGGGACCCCCGATGGAGTACTGGTCTTCAAAGGTGGAGTTCTGAGGAATGTCAAGAGGGTCCCAGGGCTCTGTCAGGGTCATCTTCGAGCACTGCTTGGTGGCTTGCTCAATCTGAAACATCACTCCATCCTTATACAGCAAAATATATTCAAATAATCTGAAACACAGATGGAAAGAAATAGTTTGGGACTTCATGTTACAATCATCGTGCGTTTTAACAGCACAACACCTTTGACAGATACTACTTTTAAAATAGAAAGAAATTACTTGCTTGGCAATCACTTAACATTTATAAACACTAGACACATGAAACAACCTGCATATGAAAAAATTAGAATTCAGAGGTCAGGCCGAGCATGATGGCTCATCCCTGTAATCCCAGCATTTTGGGAGGCCGAGGAGGGAGTTTGATTTGAGCCCAGGAGTTTGAGACTGGCCTGGGCAACATAGTGAGACCCCTGTCTCTAGAAAAAAAATTTTAAAAATTAGCCAGACATGGCAGTGCACAGCTGTAGTCCCAGCCACTTGGGAGGTTGAGGTAAGAGGATCACTTGAGCCTGGGAGGTCAAAGCTGCAGTGAGCCATGATCATGCCACAGCACTACATACATCCTGGGTGAGATCCTGTCCACCATCAAAAAAAAAAAAAAAAAAAAAAAAAGTCAAAAGTGTATATTCGCTGGACAAATTTTGACCAAGGACCTAGTGTGTGCCAGACCCTGTGCTTAGCATACAAACATGGTGAAGATGTGGCCCTGGCTGAACAGCTGGTTTGTGAACTTTTGTTTACCCACAGGGACACAGAAGGACTTGCCTCTTGTTTGGTGCAGTTTCTCTTGCAGCACTCAGTCAAGGAATTATGGGGGTATACTGAATGTAGGAAAAGAACGCACTGAGGACTGGATGGACCGAGTGCCTGTGCCTCACTGCCTCCACTGCCGAGTAGTCATGAGTAAGGGGCTTGGATGCACATAGCTGATCCAGCACGGGCGCAGCCCACATACCCTGCAGGGGCTGAGATGAGCAAGGACAAAAGCTGAGGAGACCCCAGAGGAAATGACTCCCTCAGCTGAATTTCTCTCCATGCTCTCGGCCTCCTCCCATGACTACCTGCTCAACCTTCCTGGGGAGTGACAGGGAGATATTCAGAGGCTGAGCCCAGGAGTCACCAGCCATGCTGCTTCGGCATCAGTCCTGTATCTTTCTTAAAGCTGAGCCATCTTGGTGTTGGGGGAAGCCTGCTATGTTTCTATGCATTTCACTGTCAATCCAAATCTCAGGCCGCAGCTGCTGGTCAAGCAAAGTGTGTCTTGCAGCCATGACCTCAGAAAGTGAAAGCTGCAACACTTGAGGGCTGAAGAGCCTAGAGAGGTGACTTTTCATCAGCAAATAAAAATCGTCTACAAATGATCTGTGGCTCATGAGACCCAATGCACTAGAGGAGGCTTCAGGGAGGACGTGTGCTCTCCATCCCAAGCCTCAGCTTAAAAATTGTTTTCTTCAGAAAAAAATGTTATAAAGGGTTACTGTCTTTATAGTCAAAACACAGTCATGCATCACTTCATGATAAGCTTATGTTCTGAGAAATGTATCATTAGGTCACTTCATCATTGAACAAACATCATAGAGTGCAGTTACACAAACCTGGATGGTACAGCCTACTACACACCAAGGCTACACGGTATGGTCTACTGCTCCCAGGGTCCAAACCTGTACTGCATGCGACTGCACTAAATACTGGAGGCAACTGAAACACAATGGTAAGGATTTGTGTATCTAAACATAGAAAAGGTGCAGTAAAATTATGGGATAAAAGATAAAAAATGGTACACATGTATAGGGTACTTGCCATGAATGGAGCTTACAGGACTGGAAGTTGCTCTGGGTAGGTGAGTGAGTGAGTGAGTAGTGAGAGAATGTGAAGGCCTAGGACATTACTATATACTACTGTATGTTTTATAAACATTGTACACTTAGGTTACACTAAATTTATAAAAAATATTTTCTTTTCTTCAACAATACATTAATTTTAGCTTCCTGTAACTTTTTAACTTTATATATATATATTTTTTAACTCTTTGACTCTTTTGTAGTAAGACAGCTTAAAACACACATTGCACAGCTATACAAAAATATTTTCTTTCTTTACGTCCTTATTCAATATGCTTTTTTCTATTTTAAAATTTACTTTATTTTTAAAAAAACTTTTGTGTTAAAAATTACGACACAAACACAGATATTAGCCAGGCCTACACAAGCTCAGGATCATCAGTATCACCCTCTTTCACTCCCACACCTTGTCCCACTGGAAGGCCTTCAGGGCCAGTAACATGCATGGAGCTGTCACCTCCTGTGATAACAATGTTTTCTTCTGGATACTCCTGAAGGACCTGCCTGAGGCAGTTTCACAGTTATCTTTTATGTAAGTGATAGCACATTCTAAAGTAATGATAAAAGTATAATATAGTAATTATATTCATGTGGCCAAAAACCATACGAAAAAAAGCTCAACATCACTGATCATTAGAGAAATGCACATCAAAACCACAAAAAGATACCATCTCATGCCAGTCAGAATGACTATTACTAAAAAATCAAAAAACAACAGATGCTGGTGAGGTTGTGGAGAAAAAGGAACACTTTTACACTGTTGATGGGAGTATAAATTAATTCAACCACTGTGGAAGACAGTGTGGCAATTCCTCAAAGACCTAGAACGAGAAATACCATCAACCCAACAATCCCATTACTGTGTATATACCCCAAGGAATATATATCATTCTATTCTAAAGATATATGCATGCCTATGTTCATTGCAGCACTATTCACAATAGCAAAAGACATGGAATCAACCTAAATGCCATCAATGAGAGACTGAAAATGTGGATAAAGAAAATGTGCTACATATACACCACAGAATACTATGCAGCCATAAAAAGGAACAAGATCATGTCCTTTGCAGGCACATAAGTGGAGTTGGAAGCCATTATCCTCAGCAAATTAATGCAGAAACAGAAAAGCAAATACCACATGTTCTCACTTATAAGTGGGAGCTGAATGATGAGAACAAATGGACACATGAGGGGAGCAACACACACTGGGGCTTGTTGGTAGAGCCTGGGGGAGCGAGATCATCAAGAATAGCTAATGGATGCTGGGCTCAGTACCTAGGTGATGGGGTGATCTGTGTAGCAAAACACCATGGCACACATTCACTTGCGTAACAAATTTGCACATCCTGCACATGTACCCCTGACTTACAGTAAAAGTTGAAGAAAAAAAAAAAGCATAATATAGTAATTACTTATACGCTAGAATTGTATACAACTGGCAGCACAGTAGGTTTGTTTACACCACCATCACCCCAGACATGTGAGTAATGCATTGCGCTATCACATACTATGGCTATGAGGTCGCTAGGCAATAGAATTTTTCAGCTCCATTGTAATCTCATGGGACCACCATTGTATATGTGATCCTTCATTGACTGACACGTCATTATGAAGCACATCAATGTATTATTAGTAGCCGTATGCTTCAGATTTCTATGAGATAGTATGGAAATATAAACATGACATCATTTTACACATTTATATGTATCTTGCTTATTTCAGAAAAGATTTGAAATGGCTTACGAGGGTAAAAATAACCCAGATACATACTTTTAGAAGTGAGAATGAATATAGAAAGAAATATAAGTGTGCATTTTATGAGATATTGTTCAAAAATGGAGCTAATTTTTTATAATATGCATGGAGGGTCAACATAACACTGTTAGCCCTTTGAAAAAGTTTGGAGTTGTATTGTCACTGTTTTCTCATAACCAGCTAAATCGCTGGCACAGCAGAGCGTAAGCACTGGCTGAAGAAACACAGCAACATTAACCCAACTCTTAGAGCATTGTTCATTTGTAAATGTGGGAATTGTTGTACATACACAAATCTTGTTCTATGATACTTTTAATGACAAGTGGGCCACCCAAAATTGTCTTCATTGTTCTCCTCACCACCAGCAGTATCTTGTGCTTTCCCCAGTGCTAGGCATCTGGGCTAGAAAGGCATTCCTAGCTTTTGCTGATATCCGTATTGTGTGCTTCTCAGACTGCAATGATTGTTCCCTGGAGAGTGTGTAGCCACGTGCAGGAGAGGGGGTTTCCTTCTTGAGATCATCGCCAAATCCACAGGATCACAGAAGTGTCATTAACATAGTTTGACTGTGTCCCCACCCAAATGTCATCTTGAATTGTAGCTCCAATAATTCTCATGTGTCATGGGCGGGACCTGGGGGGAGGTAACTGAATCATGGGAACGGGTCTTTCCCATGCTTTTCTCCTGGTAGTGAATAAGTCTCACGAGGTGTGATGGTTTTATAAATGGGAATTCCCCTGCATAAGCTCTGTCTTGCCTGCCACCATGTAAGAAGTCCCTTTGCTCTTCCTTCATCTTTTGCCACTGTGAATCCATTAAACCTCTTTCCTTTATAAATTACCCAGTCTCAGGTATGTCCTTATTAGCAGCAGCAGAACAGACTAATACAGTCATCCTTGCCTCATATTTGTCATACACGTCATTCTAGCCTCATATTTGCCTCCCTCACCAGAGTTTACTAGACAGAAATGAGACAATGAGATTCTTTCCTCTTGACCTGTGTCATTGCGACCAAGGTCTAATAGTCAGCCTTTTATGTGACTGAACATATGACATGTAAACTGAGAAGCTGAGGGAGGCTATTTTACAAAATGCAAATGGAATAGGATTAAAGAATGAAGCAGAGAGAAGCACTAGCAAACTGGGATTCCAACAGTTGTTCATTTCCTGGATGCCCTTTTTTCCTGAGATACTTGGAGCGCCCCCACTTACAGAGTTACAATAAGCTTCCTTTGTTCTAATAAACTTTCCTTCCTTTTTTGGCTTGCAGTTTTTTATACTACTCAGTTCTATCATTTCTGATAGAATCGAGGACTCCAGCACTCCAAGGAGAACCCCAGGGAGCAGCTGCCAACACAGCTGTGCTGGGAAAGGCCTGGCATGGCCCTGTGTGCCACCAAGGGCCACAGACGCCTGGTCAGTCACCTGCAACAGAAGGGCAGGGGACAGCAGGGAGGGAATATCACAGCTTCACTGTTTCCCTGAGGCCAGCTCTGCCCACATACAGAAGG